GATGAAGGGGATCCAGAACTGCTTTTCTGTTCGGAATGGAGTCCTAGACTACGCCTACGCGGCGCACCGAATTTCCTTTTGAGAAGAAAACAAGGATGTGAGTGCGTGGTTTCGTTTTTATGTGAGGCATGAGTTGTTTGAGCTTGCTTTGCCGCTTGAATTGCTTGAGCTTGAGCTTGCTTGTGCCCGAAACCCCTTTGAAACGCACCAAATCCCAAACCTCAACTTCAACCCCAACCGAACCACCGCCAGCCAAAACAGGAATGGTTTTGGGCCAGGACTGGATGTCATGGCCATCGTGGCCGTCTGGCATGGATATGTAGAGACTTTGAGCTCGTGGTTGGCTTGCAAGACGAGTCTTTCGTTTGGGAGCTTCAGCTGAGTGTGAAGGTGAAGCACGAGATACTCCAGAAGGATTTTAGTGGAAGTTGCAGCGCGGAGCGCTAAGCTGTTTTCCTACCTGACCCAAGCTCTGGCAAAGTCAGAGGCTGATCGGTGCAGTATCCTTTTGCAAGCGGTGAAAAAAGAGCTTCGTCAGTACGTTGTCTTGCATGGGAAGAGCAACGACTGGAACTCATTGTGCAGCAGTCTGAAGTACTACGAAGAACAGCTTCGACTCTGCGAGGCTCCAGGTGGGACGTCTCGATCCCTCAGTGACACTTTGTGTGATTACTGCGGGAAACGGGGACACCAAGCCGAGAAGTGCTGGAAGCAACGGGATGAGAAGGCCCGTGGTGGTGAAGTCCGGACAAAGGCAAGGGCGACCATGGAAAGGATCGAAAGAAGCCTAAAGAAAGGAAAAGGGGACCGAAATCCCAAAGGTGGGGGAACTTCCAAAGGTGGAGGAACGCCGCGGGGAGGTGGAACTCCTCGGAGCGAGCACGGGGACAAGAGCCCCAAAGGGCGCGGAAAGGGCAAGGAGAAGTCGAAGAAGAAGAAAGGAAAAGGGAAAGGCCGTTACTTGGGTGAGCCCGAATCGGAAGCAGACTCTGGGGAAGCCACCTTGATGGCTTTGGGTTTTTCTGGAGTGCGGCAAGCTTCGGCCGAACCTTCTCTTCCTCCTCGTGTTCTGAACGCGCCTGAAGAGGTGAAGCCGGTAGGCACCGTAGTTGGAGAGTCAATGGGGGCCTTAGGCTCGAAGTTTTCTCAAAGAGGAAACCTCTCAGATGTGCTCGCACCTAGGGGTTAGCCCGAGGGATGTTTGGTTGGTTGATAGTGGGGCTACGTGCCACATAGTTTCCAACCAGTTTATTTCAGGATTTCGTGTGGTGAAGACACACGACAAGGCAGCCAGTCTGTTCAACGCCTCTGGAGGTTCGATCGACGTTTCGTCTGTGGTCGATATCGAAGTCTACTTCGGTGATGTTCTTCTGAGACTCGGGGAGGTGTTGGTGGCTGATGTCGGGTTTAATGTCCTCTCTCCATGGTGTGGGGCGGAATTGGGTTGGAAGACCTATCTGTCCAAAACGGGGTCCCGAATGTACAAAGGGAACAAGAAGAGTATCAAGTTGGTTGGTCACAATCGGGCCTGGTGGGCGTTTAGTGGGGGAAAGAAGTCTAAAGCCTCCTCCAAGAAAGGGGCGGAGGGGCCTAACGACATGGAACTTGATTCACTGAAGGACACTGTTGTGCCAGGATCTGAGGTTCCTATCCCCTCAGGACAGCGGACCGCTCCCAGGAGCATCTTGAAGAAAGGAGGAAAGAGCCTGCATAAGGTCGATGAGCTCGATGATGAGCAGTGTGGCCGACACGCTTTGTCTTCAACTCCGTTTTCGTTTCTCCTTCGAGGGTTTAGGTCTGAGATCTTCAATCCCGAAAGTCCTCTGGGAAAGCCCAAAGTTCCCTCAAGTTGTCCAGAAAGTCCTCAAGAAGAGCTTGTTTTCGACAAAAACCTTAGGAAGCAGCATGACATGTGTGGCTTGACCTTGATTAGGAAGCAGCATGACATGTTTGGCTTGAACGTGCGCTTGATTTTTGAGCTTGGATTGAATTGCTTGAGCATGTTGATTTGGAACCTTGGGAAGATACATGCTTTGGAGCTTGCTTTGCGTGGGTGCATCATGTTTTTCATGGGGTGTTTTTCGCTTATGCAAGGGATTGGAGCGCTTTTCGGAAGCGCACGAAGGAATAGATCCGGAGCTCTGAGCGTTTTGGTTCTAGTAGCCTTTTGCTTTTGTTGCTCGAAGAGCAACACGATCCATGATGGGTGGCTCTCAGAGTGTCACGCCGGAAGTGGAGGTGGAAGCCTCTGGGCCTATGGAAGAGGCCCCAGTTGGTGGAGAGGCGAGTGTTTCGCCAATGGTGGGCCCGTCGCTGGAGGAGGTGACGGTCCAGGAGCCAATTGGAGAGAAAGAGGTTCCATCAGCGGCTTCCTCGGGGGAAGTTCTTTTCCGTCATCCGGATCGGGAGGTGCCTTCGCCTACCGACTCCGAGAATTGGGGGCATTGGCGTCCCCTTGCGGCGGAACCCGTGGAGCTTGGAGATTCCGATGTGCCGAGGATTACTCCGGTGGACACCACGCAGCCACCATCCATCCCGGGACAACACCTGACGGCCTTGCATCATGCTTTGCTTTTCGATATGAGGAGGAGGATTGCCGAGGCTGCCGAGCTTGGGGTCCATTTGTACCCCGAGCCTGGGGAACCAATGCCCCAGCTTTCCCATTATTATGGGCCCCCAGCAGACCCAAGTGCCATTTACGATTCCCTCGCCATGGCCGGGACCATTGGCGAGGCCTATGTGGTGCAGCAGCTGGGGTCTCCGGCGATTACTCGCCAGATCTTTGGTGGGTCTGCAACTTTGGTTCGTCCCAGCGAATATGCAGCCCCGACTCCGTGGCACTCGGTGCTTCCACGGTTTCCGGAAGGTCCACATCCACCACAGGTACTTCCCGAACCTGTGCAAGAAGAGGGTCGCCGTCCCAAAAGATTTCGGGAGGTGGCCACCTCCACTGTGGATCAAGACGTGGCTGCAGAAGAGCGCCTCCATCTTCTTCTCCAAGGCAAAGGCCTCTTCGAATGGGGGCTGAGGCCCCACGACGTCCTGTCAGCCATAGACAGGCTGGGCGTCGTTACCAAGGGCGCTGGAGGGCGCAACGATCGCCGAGAGCGCGAATGCTCCATAAGCGCAATGGGGTATCTTCAGCGGCTCCTCATCTGCTTGCGCGCCTTCATCAGTGCAAAGGCGGCGGAACGCCCGTTGTTGGCCCTTCACGAGCCGCGTCTCTTCGAGGGACCGCGCTTTACGCGGTATTACCATGTGAAAAACGCAGAGCTCTTTTTCACTCCACGCTTGAGCCAAAAACACCAGAGGTGGCAAGTCTCTCGCAGAGTCAGCGCAGCTTCACTTTCGTGAATTCCATCTCAACTTTGTTAAACAAAGGAGGAACACATGCAAACGTCCTAATGCTTCTCAGGACTTCCGTGCTTTAGCAAAACAAGCATACAAGTGCACAGCCACTCTGCTCGAACCTTAGTACGACGACACGAGCGAAGCGAGGGTCGGCGGCCAAGGTTTGAAGAGCAAACTCAGAGCAACACGCACTTCTTCAAGGATGCTCCTAAAGCATCTCGAGTGCTTCTCTGCTCATCATGCACACTCCAAGCGTCTCACGTTAAGCTCAAAGCAAGAAACACTTTCAAGCCAAGCTCCAAACATGCTATGTCCATGCCTGTTTCTGCCAACACAAAACAAACGGTTCAAGCACAGTTCTCAACTCACGCAATGCAAACTCGTGGTTCATGTCACATGTTCAAGACATCCTGTCAACTGTAAAGGCACTCACAAGGAAGTCACAACTTTCACAAACTTGCACTGTGCTCTCTGCAGTGATTCGGTCCGGGCTAGCAAGAGCGAGAACGCCGGAACCTCGAGCTGCAGATGTTTACCATGAAGCAACCGCGTGAGATGCATTTATTGGTCGACTGGTGAGCAAGAGCGAGAAAGCCAGGGCGACGCTTTGGGGGAGGCTGCAAGGCACAGTTAGTAAGCGCGAGAAAGCCGGAGCTGCGGACAAAGCTGGAGTAGCTGTAACTGAGAAGTCTTTCATACCTTACGTGTTTCACTTTGCGGCCTCGCATGTCCTGAGGGTTGCAGCTGAGAGGGCCTAGCTGAGAATGCAACGCCCGCACAAGCGAGGCTAATGAGTTTTAAGTTTAGTTTCACCTTGACCAACAGCCCCTTCGGGTGGCTACGCGACGCAGCGTGGAGACGAAAATTCACCTTGTTATGTTTGCTCAGTTGGTGCCATGTTGTCTCAACGGTACAGAGAGAAGCATGAGAGTTTTTCTGCTGCATGAGTTGGCATGAGCATGTTTGGTTTTGCCCAAAGTCCCTAAAGCATGTTTGGGTTGACTGCGACACATGTCTCGTCTTGTTGGCATGGCCGAGGATGAGTTTTGAAGCACTTGGAACTGCTTGAGAGCAGTAGTGAAAAAGTGTCAGAACTCTGAGGTTCTGTCTTGTTGCAACTCACTCTCCGTGTCCCCGCCACTTCGTTCGGACTCTGAAGCTTCGCTGTTTTGCTGTTAGGAAGTGACCTGAAGTCCCCGAGGTGTTGACCAAAGCAGTTGCATTGTTCTTTTGCTTTACCTCCTTTGTAGAACAAAATTGAATTCCATCGTATCCTTTTGGAGCCCTTAGCTCTTGGAGAGAGCTTGCTGCAAGAACTGAAGCTTGCTGAACACATTGGTGTTTGGCTCAAGTGCGAAGTGAAAAAGAGACAGCTGCGCGAGCTCTGCTTTTCACATTAAACAAAGCGAGCCATTCGTGGCGATCAGGGTTGAAGCACGTTGACATGTTTGCACAGGGATCTTTAGACTCGCAGGCATAGCAGGCGCTGTCGCAGCAAACGTTTGGGCCGTCGCGCTTCCGAACATTTCCCACCAAGCATCGCCGCGGCTTTGCCCCAAAGACTCGCACTTCGCAAACGTTGAGGTTGGTTTCCCGAGGGCAGTGATTCGGAGAACCTTCCCGATGAACGTGCGCGGCACCTCCGCAATTTAGCCAGGACGGATGTGAGTGTTGCTACTGCAAACAACACCGTCCACCGAGATGTTAAATGGGTTAACACGATCGCCAAGATCCTCGTTCCGGTCTGTGATGCGGACCTTAGCAATGCGGAAGAAGTCGCCCAGATCAACTTCCCACCAAGGGGACTGCTCAAGCTCCGTGTGGCTGCAGCTGTAGCCCCTGTACCAAGCATCGTCCCGGCCGTCCACTGCCCTTTCCGGCCCTAAAATGTCAAACGTGCTTGACTGCGGCGACTGCCTGGGGACAGGACGCGTTTTGAGAACCAGGGGCAATGTTGCGCAGATGGCATCCAGCAAAATGCAAGCTTCTGCAAAGATGAGCATAGCACGAGCTGCAGTTTTTGGACATTTTCCAGCGTTGAGGACTTCTGTCCCAATGGTGTAAAGTTTCAGACGCCAGCCGGCCAGGCATTTTGTGAGCCAGTGTTGTGCAGCATCCTGCCTCACACAAGCCTCGCAGCGGTACTGTCAGAACATCAGTGACGTTGACTGTGTCGTGCCGGCTCTGCTGCCAATGGCCTGACGGGCTGCCCTGGCATGTAGGCACGAACGCTTGTTTGGCGTCAAGTTTTGCCTTCTTATCTTTCTCTGCAAAAGACAGAGGCAGCCACTCAAAAACGAAAGTGACTAAACGCCGGTGATCTGCAGAGTCGCCGCTCAATGACATTGGTGTTGAGTCTCACCTTTTTGTAGAGGACGTCATGCAAGTACTTTTGCTCTTTTATGGAGGCTTGAGTATTACATAGTACTACAATAATGACCAGTTTCTTATTCGTACCATTGTTGCGAGTAGAATTAGTACTATCATCGCTATTCTTACGATTATTTCTAGTTTTATTACCTACTGTTGCTATTCTTATAACACTGAGCTTGTCGGAAATGGTCTTTGCAGCTATGCTGAATTGTCGTGATCGCAGGGCTCCATACAGATTAGCCTGCCATGGGCGTTGTGGTGCTTGGGATGTTCCCTTTTATACTAACAGTCCTTAATTGGGATCATCAATCGTATACTATATTCCCTACTAAGGACTGTTTTGTATACGAGGGAACATCCCAAACCATACCCGTAAACTTTAGGGTCGGTGACCTTGTCCAATGCCTATATGGTGGTGTCCGAAATTGGGAGTACCTTATTGGGCTCCTTGACATTTTAGGGTTCCCTATTTCGGTAAACCCCCCAAGGGCCGCCGAGCACGCGTTTCGAGGAGTTCCTCGATGTCCTGGGGGCTTGGGAAGACGACCTCGACTGGAAAGCAATGGGTCGTGCCCTTGGAGCCGAAAGTTGATGGGGGTTATGGTCTAGGCTTCTGAGGGTCGTCTGTCAAATTTGTGGCTCGAGACGGTTTTACGGTTTTACTTGCTGAATACTGTGGTGCATTTGGGAAGTCACCATAATGGAGGATCCTGATCACTTTGGCTCGTGGTTCTCATTCAGTGTCTACATTAGCAGCTCCTTCGCAAAGGTACAGCTATTGTGGTCTGTCTTAGTTTCGCAGATTAATGGCATCGATATTCAGTTCAGGCAGCTTCGCGATGATTTTCGTTGCTTGTGGGAAGCTTCTTGAGGTAAACTTTTTGCTGCAGGAGTTGCTTTAGTCATGAAGATCCCAAGGGCTTGAAGCTGAGAATTCAGAAGCTGTAGTTCTGCCCCAACGTAAGTTCTTCCATGTTCTTCCCGAATGTTGAAGTTAGGGTTTCCATGCTGTTCTTTGTGTTCTCGGGCTGCTTGTGTGGGATCTTTCATGAGTGTGTCAAGGTTTGTCAGGGACAGCACGTCGGACGAAGGCACCTGCCTCAGTCAGTGCAGAGTCTGCCCTTCAAGTTTTCAGTCCGAGTTTTCATGGGTAGTTGTATGTAGGGTTGCAAGTACCCTAAAAAAGGGTTATGAGTAAGCTACCACACGTATAACCCTGCGGCATCTTGTGTTGTGTTTTTTTTCACGCTGTTGCAGTTTGCTGCTTTTCCGGAGCCGAGGGATCGCAACACGTCGCAACGAAAGGGCTGGGATGCGAGGCGCACCGCTTGACACACACATCCCGGGCTGCTACGCTTTTTCCGCTCTCTTCTGTCTGTGATGGCGTTGAAGCTCCATGCATGGATGCCCTTGATGGATACACACCGGGCATCAGCGCACCGTAGCTTTGGGCATGCTAGGCTATCCTCTTGAACCGTAGAACCCGAGTGCGGCTCGCAGGGAAGAGGGTTGCCAAAGCCCTCTGTGTAGAGTGGCCCCTCTTGTCCTCTCATGGCCATGGATCCTGACATGGACGGCGAAGTTGTGATTCGCGCAGACACGGTGCAGCAAGTCTTGGAGCATCACCGCGCTCATCCGGAGGTCATCCGCCTTTCTCTTCACCAGGTGCGGGTAGTTTGTGTTGCGCAGAGGCTGCTATTTCACCTTCTTGATCCCTTCTCCCTCCCCCTCGTACCTGCCGGAAGATTTGCAAATATCCGTGCAGTTCATTCCGGGGTGGGGCAGAGTCTTAGCTTGAAGAGAGATTTGAGCCCTTGAGCACACAGAAGCAGAGGTCCCCATGGCAGCGCCCAACGTGGAGACCTTGGAGTCCGTCCTGCTGCCCGAGGTGGATCCGGCCGCCCTCGAGGGCCTGAAGGAGCGGTCCGACGGCCTCCAGCCCTTCTTCTCCATCGCCTGCTCGGGCGACACGGGTGCCGGGAAGTCCTTCCTCCTCAGGGCGCTCCTCCGACACTTCGACTCCAAGCAGGCTCCTCTGACCTTGGATCTGGAGGCGTCGGAAGCCAGCAAGATGAGCATCACCGGGAACATCACCTGCTACGTCCACAGGTTCATCCTTGTCTTCGACCTCGAGGGGCCCAAAGGGACCCTGCCCTTAACGGAGGTGATCCCCGCACAGCACGTGGGTGAGCTCAGGCTTGATGTTGCTCAGCCTGAGCACAAGAAGCAGGAGGGGGTTCTCCGAACTCTGGGGGTACCTTCTTGGGGTCCTTGTTCTGAGGGGATCCTACCATTTTGGGGGGACTATCTCAGGGGTCAACTCTTGTATCGTAAACCTGCAGGAGAGGCTGCGGCAAGAGGCCGTCGCCAAGTACTTCCCGCCTTTGGCGGTGGCCATCTCCAATACGATGATGTACGTCACCAGGACCCCAATGAAGAACAGCGAGACTGCGAATCACATCGAGCAGCTGGCGAAAAGCTGCTTCAAGGGCTCCCAGCACAATGTCAACCCTTTCCTGATCATCGTGTACAACTTTGCCTCGCTCGGTGACGAGTGCAAGCCTGGCGAGGACGGCAGAGACCTCGATCGGAACCATACCAAGACCTTCGTGGCCCGTCATCGTCAGATTCTGTCCTCAGTGTTCAAGGACGTGCATGTGGTGACGCTCCCGAACCAAAAGCTGGATAACACGACGGAGGGGCTCAAGGGAGCTGAAGTCTTCCTGGACAAGATCGACTACTTGACCGAGCTTCTCACTTCCCACCAACAACAGTCTCATGACTTACGGGCACAGCAAGGCCTCGCGCTTCCTGCCCGCGCTCTGCTGACGGTGTTGCCCAAGCTTGTTCACCAGAGCGTGAACGGCGAGACGCCCTCCCTCGGTGCAGCCCTGAAGTCCTACATGAAGGACCACCCCGATGAGGACCAGAAGCTGCTAAAGTATGTCTTCGAGGACATTCAGACGATCTACAGCCGGACATGTGGGGCCAACAGCCACTCACTGAAGTCAGTCCGCTCCAAGTCCATCAACGTGTCCATGCGCATGGCTTCACGCTATTTGGCCTTCAAGTTTGTGTGCCAAGGGGTTCAGGACTTTCCGAAGCCTCTGCAGGACAAGCGCGCGGAAGGCCTCTACGAAAAGCTCCTCGTGTATGTCAAGGCCCTCTACTGCAAGTGCTCGGCAGAATCTGCCGAGCATGGGGTGGTTTGTGGCAGGGACTACTTGGACCACGACAACAAGCACCGGCCCGTGGTTGCCATGGACGAAGCGGACGAGTCTTTCTGGAGTTGGCTCTCCTCCTTCTTCAAAGGTGACCGTTGCTGGGATGGGGACTTCCAGCTGAGTACGGAGGATAATGCCCATCTGAACCAGAAGCTCAAGGAGGACATGAAGCAGCACACCCACGCCACCGCACGTCTCTGGAAGGCGACGGAGCGAAGGACCGTGGAGGAGCGTTTCGATCAGTTTCGCAAGCAGGGCATTGACCTCTTGGTGCAGTACGCCCGCAGTATCTACAAGGACTTGGGCATGCACGTGTTGCCAAAGAAGGCTAGCAGGACCAGCACTCAGCTGCAGGAAAAGCCCGCCGAGCCCTTCTGCGTGGCCTGCTGCCAGCAAGTGCAGTGTGAGATTCAGAGCTTCGTGCTGTGCACGATCTGCCACATGGACTATGAGAGGGCACTTTTGGGCTCCTTACCCTCCAGCACACTCAGCGGCCCGCAGGTTTATGCAATCGGTCAGGATGGGCTCATCTACCAGCAGTTCATGGACCGCCTGGGCGTGCAGAAGTCCTGGCCTCTCCATGTTGCTTCTTGGAAGGCGGCGGACCCGAGCTCCCGCTTCATCTCCATCGCCGCCTCGAGTTGGGGGTGCAGGGCCCTTTTCGCTGTCACCCGGCATGGGAGCCTGCAAAGGCTGGCTTTGCAGGATTTAGAGCTCCATGAGCACCCGTCTCAGATCGTGTGGACTCCAGTCAGTCTTCCGGCCACTGTCAAGGCCCGGGCTGTTGCAATCCTCGAGTTCGGGGACCTGGCCAAGATCTTCGTCGTGAGCGAGAGTGGCCACCTCTACGTCAAGGGCTTGCAGGAGCTCGCCGCGCCCCCTCTCTCAGATGGCTCTCGTGATGCTCATGACTCAGACCTATCCTGGCAGTGTTTGACCCCTTCACGCACTTCCTACCTTCGCTGCATCACCTTTGCTTCTGGAACCGCCTACGCCTTCTTCAGCCGCATGGGGATGCAGAAGCGGAACATCTACAGGATGCCCGTGTCCGACCTGATGGGCGAGGAGTTCAAGCGAGCCCAGTGGCCGGACCGCTTCTGGAAGTGGCATGCGCATGGCCCCTCAGAGAAACTCCGAGCCATCGCGGCCACAAGTACCCATTTCTACGCCATTTCGGGCGACAAGCGGGTCTGCCGAATCTGCAACGACGTGCTGGAGAACTCCGCTGACTCTGTGCACACCTGGCAGGTTGTTTCCCCGGATCTCTCCAACTTTGCCTCCATCGCTGTTGGCCAAGAGGGTGAGACAGAAGCATCGCTTGAGGCATCAGACATAGCAACGGAAGAAGGCGAGCCGGATCCGTACGAAGATGACGACGAGGATGAGGCGGGGGCCAGTGAAGAGGTGGAAAGCCCGGATTACCTGGATAGTCTAGACAGCCAGGCCGGCCAGACGCTGGCTGACCTTGCTTTGCCCCGATCGCTGGAACTCGCGGCGCAGGACTTTGAGGCATCTGAGCCAGATGTCGACGGTGAACACAGTGAACACGGTGAACGCAGTGAACACGGCGAGGTTCAGGTGGGTGTGTTCCAGAACCTGGCAGACAGGGCCATGGATGCCGTCCGCTGGGAGCTCCCAGAGCTCAGGGGCTTGATGCGACTCGGGGCGCTCGGGCCGCTCGAGCCCCAGGGCGACCAGGGCGACCATGTCCCCCTGAGCCCCGCACTCGACGAAGAAGGCGGAGCGCAGGGCGGAGGAGCCCAGGGCGGAGGAGCCCAGGGCGGAGGAGCCCGGGCCGGAGCCCGAGAAAATCCAGATCCTTCGGCCTTGCCGGGTGCACCCGGCGAGCTGCAGCTGCGGCAGATCTTTCTGTGCATTGCGGCCGGTGCCGTGGTGCCGCCTGCGCTGCTTCTGGTTCTCTTCCAAGGCCTTGGCAGCGCTGATCCCGCCATCACCGCCATGCCTCTTCTTCTGGCCACCAGCCAAGAGCGGCACATGCTGTTCCATCACAAGATGGTGTGCTTGATGGGATGGCTCCTTCAGATGCTTGTTATGTTTAGGCCCAGCTGCTCCTTCGCCATCAGCTTGGCGCTTCTCTTCAACGCGATCATTGGGGTTAGCAAGGTCAGCCGCGATCCGCTGCACGACCTCGTGCGACTCTGCGACCGGATATGGCAGCTTGTGAGTCACTTGCGCCTTGTGCCGAGCAATGTGATTGCTCTGTTGCAGAGCACGGCCCTGTTTGCTAGCCTCATCTACTCCTTCCAGCATAAGGGAGCCGCGATCCCGTGGACGATGTTCGGCTGCGTTGTGAGCGCCCTGGTGGCGAGCCAGTGCATCTCCATGTGGTCCTATCTGGAGGTTGCAAGTCTGCAAGTCGTCCTCAACACAGTTCTCCTTTCTTTGCACTCGACCTTGTTTGGAATGGAGACGCAGCAAAGGCTGGAATACACAAGCGCAACCATCATTCTCATTCACTGTGTAGCCTTGCTGATGCGAGGATCGCTCTACTTCGAAAAGAAAAACTTCGAAGCCACGGAGACTTGCTGGGTCATGCTGGCGCAGGCCCTGTTCTGGATGTTTGCCGCCTTCCTGAACAAGAGGCACATCAGGGCGGCCTTGGTGGAGATCATGGCGGCCGTGGAAGGTCCAGAAGATGAGGCGCCTGAGCCACGAAGACCTGGGCCCATGGAGGGGCAGGCGATGAACGGCCTCGCGCCGCCCGAGGGTGCAGGGGAGCGGCTGCGGAGGAGGGTGGTGTCGCTTGCTCGCGCCCCGGCTTGCTTTCAGAAAGGCCCTGAGTCCTCTGTGATGTCGTCGTCGGAACGGCTTGACAAAATCTCGCTCGGCGACAGCAAGAAGCAAGACGTCCTTACCAGGGAATTCGGAATTTAGGTACCTTCTATCCTCTCAAACTCCTCAGGAGATGTCATCTTAGAGCCAGTAAGAAAACTCCAAAAAGTCTGCCATCCGTTTCCGTCGGCCAGCCAGGGTTCAGGACCTTAAAAGCCCACTTCAGTGACCCCTAGTTCGCCCTAAACCCCTAAACCCCTACACCCTTAACCCCTAACCCTCAACCCTACACCCTAAACCCGAGTTCGTACGGTGCCCATGCTGGGATTTCCGTTCTGCAACGCTTCCCGAGGTGCAGCGGTGAACCGGTGATGCTACCGGCAGAGGTAAGACGTCAGGGTTCGGAGTTTGGGGTGTGGGTCCACGGCTTAGGGGATTTAGAGTTTGGGTGGTTCGGGGCTTAGTGCATGCAAGCCGAAACCTTACATGTAGACGTCAGGCGGATAGAGCATAGAGCTGGGTCGGGGTATGCCATTCAGTGTTCAGGGTTGGGGCACCTCCGTAAACGGGAGGCGCTCGAGTTTCCAATTGGCCAGTGAGAAGTTCTCTGGCAGTGTGATGCGCCGTTGCAGTGGCCGCATCGCGCGTCTCTGTGTTGCAAACCTTGCAGGCACTTGTGTATGACTGTGGAGGCCAACCATGCGGGGCTTTCCGAAATTAGGGGTAACTTCTTGGGGTCCCTATTATACGGGAATCGCTACTATTTGGGGGTCTAGTTTAAGGTACCCTATTCTCGTAAACCCCCTTACAGTCCGAACATGCTTGTGTCGCAACACGTGGACGGTTGGCATAAGAACCGGTGCCAATGCCTGCACCTTTCCACATGCCAGTGATGTACAGGGACAGCGCTGGCAACTAGTCCCGCCAGAATCTCGCTGCACTTCCTTAGCTCAGTTTAGGGTTTAGGGTTGAGTGTTTAGGGTGGTTTCGGGTACGGCTTTCCGAAAGGTGCTCTGTTCCTGGGCTTATTGTGCTTGGTCTTCTAGCGAACCCTATCGCTTCGCTTCCCCGGCAGCTGTTTTCAAATGTGGTAGCTTCCAAGAAGTACGTAAGAACCCTAAACCCTAAACCCTAAACCCTAAACCCTAAACCCTAAACCCTAAACCCTAAACCCTAAACCCTATCTGCCCCATTCTGCGGCTTGATCCAGGCATGCGCAGGACGTGGGCTTGGCTGGTTCTCAGTACGGAATTTCGGGAATCAGGTACCCAATATAATCCCTTAAATGGGTATATAAATCAATAAATAAACAAAAACACATATATATGTATATGTATACATATATTATGTATATATATATATATATACATAATATATTTTCTATATGGGGCCCTCATTCCCTCATTCCTTAACTAGGAACCAGGGGGTTTGCGTTGCGCAGAGGCCATGTGATGACCGAGATCCCTCGTCCCCCCCTGATGACTTGGCAATGGCTTTTGGCTTTGTTGCTAGGCAGGCCCTTGGGACATGTTGTGTTTTCCCTCATTGGTGTTAAGAGGAGAAAATTTAGGAATATTTTTTAGAGGGTCTTAAGGGCCATCCTAGATTTTTAGCAGCCAGTAAGAGAAGGTGTCTAAAGCACCGCAGCCCATGGGGGAAATATCCAAAGCATCGACATTCAAGTGTGGGAATGTAGGACTAAGCAGCTCCAAACGCAAGATTGTGAGAGTCGGGCTAGTTGTTTTCCGAATCTCACAGGTTCCAGCAGAAAACGCTTTGTACATTGTGTAGGCCCTAAACCCTAAACCCTGAACCCTAAACCCTAAACCCTAGACCCTAAACCCCAAACCCTACACCCGAAACCTTAAACCCCAAACCCTAAACCCGAAACCCCAGCCAGCCTCCTAAACCTCAAACCCTAGGCCCTAAACCCAAACTTGAGGGCTAAACGATTCGGATGTTAGGGAAATTTAGGGGTTAGCGCCGTGCAAAAGGCTTTGGGGTCTGGGGTTTAGGGCTTTGGTGTTTGCCTCCCCAAGGAAATCGATAAACCCAAGCTGAGCTACGCAACCCTAACCCATACACCCTAACCTTAAAATCCTATAAACCCTACACACCTAAACCCTCGGCACCTTCATCCTATTTGCTGCAGGACCCAGAAGGAGAGGCAGCTGGCTGGTGGGTGGAATGCTCGGCACATCTTGAATTGCCATGGCGCCATGGAGTCGCTACCGCCCAGAGAGCCCTACTTGGAGGTTCATGGTACCAATTATAACTAATTATAACTAATTATACTAATTATAACTAATTATAACTAATTATAACGAATTATATCCAATTATAGCTAATTCACCAACTACAACTGTACTTAGAACCACATTCGGGCACTTAAGGGGCCTCACAGGTGGGTTAGAAGGACAGTTCTGCTTGGTTCGCAAGTGCCATGAACCTCCAAGTAGACCCCTTCAGCAAGGAGTTTTTTTACCCTTAAACGACTCCTCAGACTCGCAATTCTGACAACCTGAGAAGAGCTTTGAATGGCTGTGAGCTGCAAGAACATCGGTTCCCTAAATCCCAACATTCCTCCCCTCCACCCTCAACTTCCGAGGCCTGTACTCGGATGCTTCCAGATACTGCAGAAGGGCGGAAACGCTACGAAGGCCGGTGTTTGGAGGGGTTCTAGGCTCCCAACCCTGTCGCTGCTGCCACACTGTCAGAATCCTGAGCCCGAAACCTTAAATCCTAAGCCCGAAACCCTAAACCCTAAACCCTAAACCTTAAACCCTAAACCCTAAACCCTAAACCCTAAACCCTAAACCCTAAACCCTAAACCCCTAGGGCCTGGGGAAGGGCTTGGTCGGCCACAGCTTTTCATGCTTGCAGCCATGGGACAGGTTTCCGAGCCAGGCGCTTGCTCTTGTCTACTGTTCCAGGGCTTTGGGCTTAGGGTTTTAGGGGTTTCCCTAAACCCAAAACCCAAAACCCTAAACCCTGGAGTTTGGGGTCCAAGGTCTGAGACCCTCTTTCTTCCTCATGCCTTGTTCATTGAGTGATGATCCCGAGTACATCCGTGTTCGTACATGAATCTGTTATCTGTTTATGCGGCTACAGCAGTCCAAGTCAGGAAGAACATCTTCAAGCCCTACACCCTAAGCTGTGGCACGTTGTTTTTTAGGAAGGACCTTGAGATATGTCATATCTTCAAGAGCATCGTCTGAAGAATATTTGCCGGAGGGTTTAAATGGCCAACGTGGACTTCGACGTGTGTTCCGAACACGTTCGCAGCCAGGAGGTCCTTGGGCGGCCAGATCCTGATGCCTTAGTTGGTGGTGGTTGGGGCTTCGGGCTTAGGGCTTGGGGCTTGGGGCTTGGGGCGTAGCAGCTTAGGCTTGGGGTTTAGGGTTTAGGCAGCCCACCTTCAAAATCGCAACCTGTGGAACAGCAGACGCAGCAATCGGCAAGAAAGACGGCTTTGTTGGCTTCGTTTGTTGGCTTCGGCAGGCAGTTCTTGAACGTGCAGGTTCACGCCCACTTGCAGCAGCTTGAGGTGTGCACCTTGCCACAGCCCTTTTCCCCGAGCTTGAACACACACATGAACTTATTGATTGAAGGGCTGCCAGCATCGATGCTCGTGCACGGGAAATCGTAGAAGAGGGAGGTGAAGGGGTCCGGTGCTTCTTCCCCTTGGCCCCCTTGGCTTGATGTCTTCGTCGCATGTACAGCAAACTTCCCCCCCCCCCCCCCCCCCCCCACACACACACACACACACACACACAAACACAGACACAGGCACAGACACAGACACAGACACAGACACAGACACAGACCCAGACACAGACACAGAGCAAGCACAACAAGCCACCTTAGCAACTTAAAGGCAGACTTGGTATGATTGGCATTGCATCCGGTACAACTGGGAGCATTTGCGGGCTTGCTTAGGGAACTTTTAGTTGAGACTGGGGAACCGGGGAACCCTGATTTTAGTTGAGACTGGGGAACCCTAAACCCCAAACCCCAAACCCCAAACCCCAAACCCCAAACCCCAAACCCCAAACCCCAAACCCTAAACCCTAAACCCTAAACCCTAAACATTAAACCCTAAACCCTAAACCCAAAACCCTAAACCCTAAACCCTAAAACCCTAAACCCTAAACCCTAGACCCGTTTGGGGCGGAATCTGCTTGCCCAGTCCCCGGATCTACAGCCCCAAGGTTGAGGGGTTGAGGAAGGCGTAGGTTTTGGGGGCTTGCAAGCTGCTCCCGAAGCCTGACCCCTAAACCCTAAACCCGAAACCCGAAACCCGAAACGCTAAACTCTAAACCCTAAACCCTTAACCCTAAGCCCTAAACCCTAAACCCTAAACCCTAAACCCCTAAACCCTAAAACCAAAACCCCTAAACCCAACCAACAAGGGTTCCGTAGGGAGGGGGCTGCGGGCCAGCCCGGGCCAGCCTCAGCCCCCAACCCTCAACCCTCAGACACCCTACCAAAACCCCACAAAACCCTAGAAAAAACCCAAAGAAAACCCCACAAAACCCCTGAAACATGAACCCCTGCTCTGCCTTTTCAGCTTTGTGGTTCAGAAACCTTGGTGTTCTTTTCCAGCACGCCGATGCCGTTGTGCTGTTGTTGGCCGCGGCCCTCAGATGTCGGGGAGGCACCCTAAACCCTAAACCCTAAACCCTAAACCCTAAACCCTAAACCCTAAACCCTAAACCCTAAACCCTAAACCCTAAACCCTAAACCCTAAAACCCTAACACCCTAAACCCTAAACCCTAAACCCTAAACCCTAAACCCTAAACCCTAAACCCTAAACCCTAAACCCTAAACCCTAACTCCTAAACCCTAAACCCTAAACCCTAAACCCTAAACCCTAAACCCTAAACCCTAAACCCTAAACCCTAAACCCTAAACCCTAAACCCTAAACCCTAAACCCAAATCCTAGGTGTTGCCTCCAAGTTTTGGTGAGATGCATTTGAGGGTGTTGAGAGCATGTCGGGCCTTTAGGGAGTTGGGCGCGTCTAGGGCATTCAGGGCGAGTAGGGGGGGACTAGGGTTTACTTAGGGTTGGGGGCCGTGGCATTCCGCTTGCATGACCCGAGGTTGCAGCTGGTTCTACAAACTTGCAAGAATTTAGGGTTTGGGGCTTCAGGTTTCAAAGAGTTACCCGCGACGCTGGCCCAAACCCTAGACCCTAGAACCCTGGATCTAGACCCCCGGGGGGAGCTTCGCCTTTCAGGAGTGTAGCTGGCACAAGGCAACAAGGGCGACGTTGACTCTGGGCCAAATCCCCCAATCTTTTTCGGGTTGAGGGTTCCTCTAAAACCCGAAACCCTAAACCCCAAACCCTAAACCCGCCTAAACCCTAAA